CTGGCGTTGTTTTCTGACATGTTGTATTCTGACATGTTGTTTTCTGATGTTGTATTCTGACATATTGTTTTCTGACATGTATTCTGACAGGTTGTTTTCCGACATGTTGCTTTCTGACATGATGTATTCTGACGTTGTATTCTTACATGTTGTTTTCTGATGTGTTGTTTTTTTGACATGTTGTTTTCTGACATGTTTTTTTCTGACATTTTGTTTTCTGACATGTTGTATTCTGACAGGTTGTATCCTGACATGTTGTTTCCTGACATGTTGTTTTTTGACATGTTGTTTTCTGACATGTTTTCTGATGTTGTATTTTGACATCTTGTTTTCTGACATCTTGTTTTCTGACATGTTGTATTCTGACATGTTTTCTGACATGTTGTATTCTGACATGTTTTCTGACATGTTGTTTTCTGACATGCTGTTTTCTGACATGTTTTTTTGATATGTTATTTTCTGACGTTTTCTGACATGTTTTCTGACATGTTTTCTGACATGTTTTCTGACATTGTATTGTGACATGTTGTTTTCTGACATGTTGTTTTCTCACATGTTGTATTCTGACGTGTTGTTTTCTGACATATTGTTTTCTGACATGTTTTTTGATATGTTGTTTTCTGACGTTGTATTGTGACATGTTTTCTGACATGTTGTTTTCTGACATGTATTCTCTATTTCTTTTGGACCTTGTAAATATTGTATGTCTTTTTTCATGCTTTATTATGTACTTTGCATGCTTTAGTTATTTCTTGTTTTTCTTGCGAGTCAAAATGATTCTTCTCATTCTGAGCATGTCATTGCATTCTTGATCTTTTGTTAACCTGCATATGACAAATAAACAATAAACAGTTTTCACCAGTCTTCCTGCTTCAAGTAAAGTCTGCCATTGCATTTGTGTCATACACCTCCACACACCCTCCATTCAAGACAAAAACCACTGCTATGATCAAGTAAAGACTGTCAAAAGACTTCTGAGACCTGATCTGCACAGTGATGCTGTGAATTTTATTATTTATTTTATAGTCTGGTTGTAAATTTCTCATGAGAAAATACGTTTGATCAGTTATCATTGTGCAGTCACTGGGTCTACATTTACCATACAAAATACTGACTACAAAATACACCATCAGTGCAGAGAAATCAATGTTCAAACAAAAAACAGATAAAAAAAGATGGATGGATGAATAGAGGTGTT